ATTTTATGCCTCCGTTTTTATATATATTTATCATTTTATATTCTCCTTTTGATGTTTTTATTTTTTATTTATTTTTATTTTTACTTTTTTCCAGATACAATAAATGGGGTATCTTTCCACCCCTTTCTCCCAATGGCAGCCACATCTTCAGGACAAAGGCGGTATGGAGGTTTGGATGATGACTCTGAAGAGAATAAAAACAGCTTGACCGGTATTAAATTTATCCCAAGTCCTTCAAAATATATTCTTCACCATTATTATATTCATATATATTATCAAATATATTTTGTGTTGTCTTATTGTGGCTAAATTGCATTTTTAGTCCTTGTTTAACGCCATAGCAATTTCAGTCCCAAGATTCTAACATGTCGCCTTTCGGTAATTTGATTTAATATTTTGGAGTGAAATTGCAACAAATTCCCAAATTTATATCTTTGGAAGGAGTTTTCATTAGCAATTTAAGTTCCGTAATTTAAAATTTTGTTGCAATTTAAGTCCTGTAATTTTCAATTTTGTTGCAATTTCAGTTATTTGAGGACTTTTTCTTTGAGGACTGAAATTGCAGCAAAATATTAAAATCACAGGATCAAAAGGCGAAAAGTCGGTTTGCTGTGGCATTAAACTAACATGACTAAAAATGCATTTTGGCCCTTATTGTTCTTTGATGGAGAATCTTGCAATTTAGCATGCATGACTTGCGCTTGGGAGGTTATTTACCGTTATTCTTTTGTTTTCTAATGTTTAGGTGATGAAAACTGTTTGTCCGTTTGGAGCTTTTATTCAGACACAGGGGAAGATGTAGTTTTCGGAAATGCTGGTGATTGATGCATTATTCGGGAACTTTTCGAATTTTGTTAGCAGCATAAAGTCATTGACAATTTGATGTAAACAAATTTGGACTATGTATATTGTATTGTTCTGATTTGGTTGTACTTTCAGCAATTTTTTTTTCTTTTTCTGAAGTCTTTAATGTTATGTATTTGGCTGTTTATTCTTGTTCTTT